GAAACCCCACTCTACTAAAAATAGAAAAAAATTAGCAGAGCGTGGTGGCAGGTGCCTGTTGTACCAGCTACTCTGGAAGCTGAGGCAGGAAAATTGCTTGAACCCAGGAGGCGGAGGTTGCAGTGAGCTGAGATTGCACCCTGGCACTGCAGCCTGGGTGACAGAGCGAGACTGTTTCAAAAAAAAAAAGAACACCACCACCACCACCACTACCAAAAAACATTAAGCAAAGCGTCGTACAAACCCTGCGCGGACTTGGGAGGCCTGGGACAGATTGTAAGGGCAGTGTGGGCTGGGCATGGGCAGGTTTGGGGTAGAGATGGAGGCAGGGCAGTCCAGCTAGGGGCACAGCTGCAAGAAGGCTCTGAGGTGAGGAAAGAAAGGGTGTGTTTGGAGGATACATGGTCAGGAACACAGGGGTCTGTATGAGTGAGTGCGCAGGGCAGTGTATAATGCTGGAAAAGGCTGGAGGGGATCGCAGTGGGGAAGGCGTCCACGGCTGGGGTGAGCAGTTTGAAGGATACTTGATATGCCATGAGAAGCCCCTGGTCTCCTGGGCAGGGGAAGGGCTGTGTTGGGAAGGGAGCAGGGGTGGTGTGGAGGAGGGAGAGGCTGTGGGGGACAGGGGATTGCTTAGGAGGACAGTGGACGCCAGGATCTGAAGGCACAAGGAAGGCCTGGCCTCTGCCACTTCCTGCATGCGCCACCTTGGACACATTCACTTTCCTACCCTGAGCCTCTTCTTCCTCATCTCTAAAGTGGGGTTGGCCAGTTCCACAGGGTTTGCTATGAGGCTTAGAGGAGAGAGTGCAGGGGTTTGACAGGCGTGTGCTCGGAGGACGCCGGGGAGGACGGTGGGAGGGGAGGAGATGCTGAACACGGGCGAGGGCTTCCCGGACACGAGCTCATATCATTTTTGCAACAACCCTTCAACATGGGTATGATGATTACTCCTATCTTACAGACGAGGAATCGGGACTCACTGGAAAATCCCTGGCCGGGCGCAGTGGCTCACGCCTGTCATCCCAGCGCTTTGGGAGGCCAAGGCAGGTGGATCACCTGAGGTCAGGAGTTTGAGACCAGGCTGGCCAACATGGTGAAACCCCGTCTCTACTAAAAATAAAAAAAATTAGCCAGGTGTGGTGGTGG